GTGATATTTTAATATTTTAAAATCAATTTTTATTTAATGCGTGATGTCTAGCCAGAGTGCTTCTGATTTTATGGGATATCTTTAAAAATACAAGGAGAGTCAATTATTTGTGACTTTTTGTTTTCCCATTTTATTTTTTATCAAACCACAAGGCCGCCTTGCATTAGCTAAAACTGCCTGTCTCACCTATTCTGATCATCTGCAGTCATGAAACACTTTTCAGTAGATAGAAACCACTGTTTGAGTCTGTCCCAGAGGTGTACCCAGGTTATTTGATACCTGGGGCAAAATTATGTCTTGGTACCTCTACACCCCCTCTAACCCCATTGTATTTTTTTGTGTGTCACTCTACAGCCCTTGCTGACTCTTTACACTTCCTTCAGCCCCTCATGTGTATCTCATGACAATCCCTTGTTTGTTTCTTAACCCCCTTACCACATTGACAGACAGAGCACTCCTTCATGGATGTCAACAGTGGTTGACTACCCTCCTATTTATACATTACTTGTCTGTCCGGATAATCTGTATTCAGGATATCACCTTTTAGGTTAGATATATATAAATGCATGCTATCTGAGCAAAATCTTGCCATGTTTTGAATGTTGACAAAGCAAAATTAAGCTAAATTATAAAATTTCGTGTCACTTGGGTATAGACTTAAAACTGTCACCTTAAGCAACTGAATTCTATGGCTACTGGTGGTAACATGGACTCATGTCGAGCTGTCGAGCTCAAAGCTTTAGATGCACTGAGATGTTGACTTTAAAATAAAATGAAATTTGCAAGCTCAGCATCTAAATTCTCAGTTTAATATTCTTTGGACAGGCTTTTCAAATAACCTATCTACAGATAAATATATGAAAATAATTTTTACATAAATAATTTGAAAAGTTTATCCAAAAATATAAAATTGGGACCAAAGTTGGATAAACCCTAAAATGAACAGTAAATGTCTTCGTTAAGGTGGTCTGCATGGTAAAATGTGTATCCTCCATGGACTCACAGCCACATTGCACTTAACCAGAACTGATGGTGACTGCCAAGTTGGAGGACACGCACTCAGGTCCAAGTGAATAAAAGTGAATGTCATGAATGCAACATAACAAAATCTTTTCCTACCCATTGCAGAGAGTCTAATTACTTCAGTAATATATACGCAAATCTACATTGCTGGGCATCTCATTTTAAAAAAAGTTAATAAATCACCTCCCTAATTGCACATTAAAAGACTGATCAAAATGTATGAGAACATGGTCCAGTTCATTACTAACAAGCAGTAGCAGTATTTTGTTGTCTACCCTCATCTGAACTTGGGAGACTAGAATGGAATTTTCAGACAGTGATTATACGGGATAGGAAATCAGTTTTTTAACTCAATCTTGAAAAGAATATCTGTAGAAAGCAAACCATCCTTTGTGTGGTATCTGATCAAATTTGGAGGGCACAAAATCTTCTTTTAGGCAGGTTTATTGAAAGAGCAAATCAATATCATGGCCTTTCTGTGTACACTTGTTATCTAATTTACTATATTTCTCTTGCTATAAAAAATGTTTACTTTTGTACTTCTCCATAGACCTTCACTAAACATACGACTGCATTGACCTCTCATTTTAAAAATAACGAATCAACAGATCATTGTATTTTCCCTGGGGGCTTGGTACTAAGACATTGTTTTTTGCATAAATAACTTTTCAGGGCTGTGTATTTTAGATAATATAAAATCTGAGAAGTACACTTATATTCTTTCAAAGATCAGAAAGGGTACAAAACAAAAATTACAATTTTGGGGTAGATTCCATATCCGAGAGTGGCTCATCCTATATCTTCTTTTGTTTCATACACATATTCCCCTGTGATAAGTTTTTCTTAAATCTGGTGGATTATGAAGAATGTATTATGTTTCAGTCTATATAATTTATTAGTCATATCCATTTTCCTATGCATGGATTATATGAAAGAGATTTTAAATATAGTCCCTCTAAAACCTCTTTGGTTGACTATGATGTTATCCCATGGTTTACATGGCTATATAGGTCCTTTGTTTTTGCTGTTCTCAAACAAGTTCTTGGTCTTTTTTTAAAGTTCTAAAAATTTGGGAAGTCTAAAGCATATTATTTGTCATATGAAAATGTCTGGTTCGTTTTTAATTTATCCAAAAAAATAATAAAAATAAACTCTCTTTTATGTCTTATTTTTTTTTTTTTTTTTGTATACGGCACAAATTTTTTAACAAAGTTAGCAAATTTTCTAAATTATAAAAGGAGGGTGTTGACTGCTTCTTGACCATACTACAGGTTTTTGTCTTCCCTTCTAGTTATAAAAGCAATAATATGTGTAACTGGAACATCCCAGTGCTATCTTTGTAAAGCAATGCATATAGTGATGTAATATGGACGTAGGTCCTAAGTCTTACTAAAGTTTTGTAATGCTGAAATCCAGTCTTTGCTTTGACTCTAAGTACTAACCTTAATCTTAAATTCTAGCCCTAATACTAACCTATTCTCAATATGACACTTCATTTTAAAGGAACACTCCAGGTTCCTAAAGCACTAGAGCTTGCTGACATGCTTTAGGATTTAGCTGCAGGTCCCTCAAGGTCCATTTTATAAAAGTGCCGATTTCAAGAGAAAGTATAAATCTCTGGAGTAATACCTCTTGTCCGTCAAGCAGACAGCCAGGAAGGTTCCCTGCCTCACTCACTTTGAACTATAGCTCAAAATGGAAGTGAGTGTTTCAATATTGGTCGTATTGTTTCTGTACAAAAAGCATTCTGGATGTGTCCCAATGCTGCTCTATGAAGAGCATGTGACTGGACATATGACTTCGCAGGAGGAGGATTGAAGTTGCAGTGAGGACACTCTCCTCTAGCGTTGAATAAAAGGTGAGTTTAATTTATTTAAACCTTTCACTGCTGAAATGGGGAGCCCCATAATCTAAAGAGTTTAAGGAACACTTAAATGAAAATAAATTATATATTTTTTTTTTTTGGGGGGGGGGAGAGATTAGAGTCACCATTAGGGTGATGACCCTAAAGGTGACTTTCAGGGGGGGAACAATTATTTTTATTTTCTAACTAAAAGTACCATGTCTAACTTTATCCCTAATCAGCCTATAATTAAATGTCTAACGCCCCTCAAAAAGGATGCATACACACCTCACACACAAATAAATTGAGGAACTAATTTTGATTGTTAATCAGTCTAGACCAGATGTTGTGGACTACATTTCCAATTAAAACCATAAATATGACAAAGCATCAAGGTAAATGCAGTCCACAATATCTGGAGTGCCGAAGATTGCCTACCCCAGGACTGCACTAAAATATTTAAATGTCTCTTTCACATAATTAATAGCTGGTGATAGACTACAGTCCAATAAAAACAAGTGGGTTATTCAGTATTGCTATATACCAGAGGTTTATAAACCAGTCCTCAATGACTCAGTTGTGTAATCTGTAAATCCTGGACTGAGGACTGTTGATGGGATTTGAAGTAGGTATTAGTCATTTTAAGTACACATACAGATAAGAAACTTGGTGCAGTCAAAATATGAGGATCGTCCACATGAACTTGAAATATATAGTAAGGCAGAACACTAACTGGATGGGTACACATGGTATATGAACCTGGAATGGATTTACATACACAGGTAGTCAAATTCAGGACATGGCTGTAGAGAGGTCATGAACCGGCAAAGCTAAACATGGGAGACAGGACAAGAAAACTATAAAATAATAACACACTAAATGGTCATTGGAGCCTGACTGTAATGGTGAAGATTTGAGGAAATGCTGGAGCTTGAATAGAGAGGTCTTGTGATATCATATGCGTTTGTTTGGTATCAAGAATGAATTCAATAATATTTTGCATAAGTTGATAAACCTAAATCAAAGCGTTAACACCAATAGTAGTCAAATATATTCAAGGGAAAAGGCTACTAGGTAGTGACCAGCCAGAAAAAGCATGATGGATACTGGTTGTTAAAGGTCTGCAAAATACTGTGGATTTTGCAGAAGATACTAGGGAGAATACTGGTGGGGAATTGCTGTACACAGTCAAGACCAGGACAGGAGAAGGGTCATGCTATGAAGTGACAGCCTGGTGTCAGTGTTACACTCTCTCCTTCATATTGTTTGTATGATTGCTGTATATCAAATTCTACCCTGATTTGGGGGAAGGGCCTGACTACCATGCTGATCGGTTGTATCAACTTAGAGCGCTCAGAGAAAACTGTTATTTCAACCATTTCAGAGGCTCATAGTCTGAATCGAGGGTTATACTGCATCTGAAGATGTCCTGCAACTTTATGCGTTCAAACATACTATAATTAGCCACAGTTGTGATGCATTTTGCTTGGGGAGGACCTGCAGCCTACAAGAGGCCTGCTCTGTGGATGAGATGGAGGCAGCCGATCCGTCTGCCTTTAATTTCACTGGCATCCACAGAATATCCCACCTGCTCCTTCACACCTCCCCTACTGTTATCCTGGCACAAACAGTTAGTGTTACAGTAACCTCTCGCATTGACCGGTAATCTGCAGTATTCCAGTCTACTCTAAAATGATGGCAGCACACGCTGAGCAAACATCCATGACAAGCTGTCCCCTATCTTGGCTAAGCTGGACATGCTATTCAAGGATTTTTGGTCCAGACTTCAAAACAGCTGGCCTTGGAAGATGCGTTAAAGATACTTGCTGTGACAAACTGAACCTCGTCACTGGTTCTTGGAGGAGCCTGCTAGCCAGCCTCTTACCCTGTGACTATGGCCCTTGCAATAGACCTGGCTAAAATACTTTAAAAGTCTCTGTTCATGTGAAGTATGTACTTTTGTACTCCATACAGAGAGACCGACCGTTAGCACTAACTCTCTGGAACTGTTTTGGGCATGGGACCATGTGCACAGTCGGTCAAAAATAAGATTCCAGGAAATTCCTGAACCCCTGAACTGATATGGGTGATTTTTGGATATGTTGGTCACCCAGATCAGGGCTATCAGGGGTAACATCTATGTAACATTTGTGACATTTATGTATTTTTAGGGGTACTTTTGGGGTGTTTTAAAAAAGTATGTTTTTTTTCTGTGCTTGGAGATAACTGGATTAGAATTAGTACAGTTATTGACCCAATTATCTCCCAAGCAGAGGGGAGGGATTGTGTGCTGTGTGTGGGAGTGTCGTGCCTTGTAACCTTATGTCACTGGTCTGTGAAGTTGCAAATCAGTCCCCCACAAGGTCACTGTGGGCGTACCCCTTCCATGGGGATTGTCATATAAGGCCAAGTGTGGCTCCCATTAAACAGAGATTTGTTTACCCCTTCATGAAGTCTTGGGGGATTGGAGAACTACATTCACTCTGGGGATTGCTATATCACAATACTCCCCTGAGTATAATCACTAGCTCTTGTAAGAGCTGTTCCTGCTACGCTCTCTGGACTAGGAGAGGTTCACCCACTGGAAGCTGGATCCTGGTCTTGGGTCCAGGGTGGGTGGAGGACAGTGAGACCCCAACCAAGCTGCGGCGGTTCGTGGGGTTTATGGTTGTTATGGTGTCCCAGTACAGTGCTTATGGTGCTCGCAAGTACAAGGAAGCAGCGATTGATGGAGGTACCCAGTCAGGGTGCCAGGCGGTCTGACACACTTGCCTTATAGTTGACTCTACAACTGTGCATTACTCAGACCCAGGGTGAGAATGCACCTGATTATCAAGGCCCAAGACTCTGGAGGCCCCAAACATTGCAACAGTAACCATGTTAGTAGGACTGGGGCTGGCATCGCTATCAGTTCTTCCAAGGGAAACATGGGCCTAGGATCTACCTGGAGACTGGTCTTGCGTAAAAGCTGATGATGCAGCAGCTCATGGGGCTCTGTGGTTGGCATTCTTTATACGAGAATTACACACCTATCGACCCGCTGGCCCTCTGGTTGTTGGCCCTGTTGTGTGACTGTGTTCTGCCCTCAGAGGGCATAGGATGACATGGAATCCGGGATATGGCCTTCTTGAATAATTGGCATTCGGAAATAAACCCTTTTACCAGGAAACACTCTACTCTTGTAACCTAGCTGAATTACTGTTTATGTGATAATACTCAGTTTGTGCTTACTATAAAATTACTTAAAAATGTGCAGTCTAATATTTAATGCTAACCTAATGGAATATTTTATTATATTTTTCTGCATGCTATACTTTTGCAGATGCTACCAAATATGCTACTGTCTCATATTCTGCTATTTTATGAGAATATGTGACATATCACTGCACAAAAAAAAATAATAATAATAATGTAATTTTTAAATAAAAATAAAATTAGACAATGATTTGGACATATAAGTTAGTAAGAAAAATGAAAGCTTAGTGAACTGAGCAGGATTGTTTTTCTGTAGTATAAGGAAGTCAGTAGGGTTTCTCTGTAAAATGCTGCCATTTTAAAGCTTAAGAAAAATATCTACCTTGTAGAAAAACAAAATGACTGATCCCAGTAGAACCAGCAACAAATATTGGACTGGAATTAGATCAGCTACATTAAAAATAAATAAAATGATTTATAGCCATTATAAAATATAAGAACTATTTTTATGTACATAGCTAAAAATATGGATATGTTCCCTGTGATTTATACCTGAAAAATAAATAAAATATGTGTAATGTAGAAAATATATAAAAAAAATAAAACATTGATTGAGTATATATATGCAATAAAATCATCCCCCAAATATCAACACCTTGGAGATTAACCGCCCGACCACCAGGAGTCGAGAAATCAATTTACATATATATGCATAGCAGAATATATTAATATGCAAGGAATGCAAATCAACATGCATAGAGAGCTAAATATGCCTAGCAATACATATCCATATGCATATTTCTGCATTATATCCAATACTTTTATTTATAGACTTGGGCAACATCTTTGATGGAATATATATTTATTTATTCACTGACAGTCATCTATATCAAGGTTTTTGGTGAAGGTCAGCTTCTTCTTTAGCCCTCACACAGAGAGACAAACAGACCCAGAAAGAAAGACACACACGCACACCTTCAGTCAGCAGACATATCCAGTTACAGATATCAGAATATCTATCAACACTCAGACTCCCACAGCTGGAGGACCAGACAAGCACCCCCTACTCCCAAATCAAATAGATACAAAGACATACAGACTTATCCACCAGACGTTAGATACTTGGGGTGACATGGAAATCTCACACACAAATGTAGAGTGGATTTAAAACCTATGAAGCCGAGGGGGAATTTTAGGACAGTGATCCCTAACACTCCTGAGCTCTTCTTGGTTTACTAGCCAATATATTACTAAATAAACATTATGGCTGCCACATGGAAAAGTGACTGGATTTTCAAGGACAGCCTACCGTTGACATCTAACAAAATGCTTTGCTATGCACTTTTCTCTACACTTTGCAAGAGACTGGGACACAGTGTCGACAGTGTGGAGTAACACTTTAAGCCTTATTACTTCAATTGTTCTGTGGGCACAAACTACCCTGGGTAATAAATCACATATTATATTTAAATGGACACTGTAGTCAACCAGAACAGCTACAGCTTAATGTAGTTGGAATAAAGATGAGTTTTCTACTTATTTAAAGGGGGGCAAGGTTGGCTGTGTTTTTAACACTATAGGGTCAGGAATAAACATGTGTATTCCTGACCCTGTAATGTTCCTTTAAGCATGGGCATGTGCCTGTCAGCATCCCTGATTTGTTGACACCAAGGAAACGGCATATCTACCCTAAGGCTGAACAAACACATAATGGAATATTACAAAGTAAGGTACAGATAGGCGTGAGTGCACCTAAAGCAAGAAAAAACATCACATTTGTTTGTGACGTGATTCTACAGAGGAATTTGCATGGAAAGCTAGCAATAATGGCACAAATAATATTTTTAGAGCCTTACTATCCAAATTTACATATTTTGGCAAACTAATTTTAGACTTGGATACTCCAGTCCCTCTCTTCACAGAAAGAAATTCAAATGTATATGATTGTAAGCTGCAATGTATTTCCTATAATAAGGGGTAATTACATTATTTAGTTTTTCTCTGTATGACTTAACTTTACAGTTCATATTTGTTTTTGTACTTCATATTGGCTCTAAACCTCCAATAGACAATAATCCTTCTTTAACAATCAAAGAAAGGCCACCATGATTATTCGCTACATTTTCTCACTTCCAACTCACCATGCAGTTCACCTGATGTTAACCAGACATAAATTCAATGCCAAATACATTAAAATGCATTCCAAGCAGGTGAATCCAGTGGTTTTCACCAGTAATGTGGCTATTTGTTTTGGTTTGATTCCACTGTACTTTCTTTAGTTTACATGGATTTACTTGTTTGTAAATCAGACAAATCATAGTTAGGTTTTTTTTTTTTTAATTCTTTATTTTTGTAGTGCATTTCGATGGTAACATACATGCGTGAGGTACCCCGACGGCAATCCTCAAGCAGTTTAGTAATACACATAACAATGGGGTAGTCCAGTATACATGCACAATTTTATATTTAAGTCGATAGTGTTTATACGATAGTGATAAAGGCTAAGTGATGATGTTTCAGTAGTTAGACTGCGTTTAACATGGCTGGTCGGACAGGTAATCCGGGCCTGCGGGGCAAATTAGGCAAAACAGTGGGAGCTCCTGGTAAGCAATGTTTATTTGGTACAGCAGAGTGGTTATGACTGCCCATCCGTCACAACAGGTGCATTGAAATCTCATTCTAATGCTAAGTGAGGGCGCTGAGCCCACTAGTTTTATTATGTTGACAGTGTTGCTGCTTGATATGGGTGTGTAACTAGTTTAAGTAGGACATGCAAATAGAGACGTGGCATTTTAACATAGTTATCTATCGTTGCTAGTGTAGGCTGCATTGCAGGCAATTAAATGAATATAAGTAAAGGCAGCCTAATGTTAACCAAACATAAAAGTAACTATGACATCTTTTTAACAGTATTATCTGTCTTGGTACCGGCGGACTGGAGTATAACAGCAAGTCCTTTGGGGGACATGGGTACCTTGCTCGAAGGCATGTGGCACTGTCAGACAATATCTCGGCTTGGCAGATCCATTTCATCCCTGGGAGCTCTCCAGTTCGCCTGGATGCGTCTTTGTGGTAATGCGAGTTGTGCTTTGTGCCCGGCGTCCCGTTTGTCCTTGGCCTCCCTGGAGATTAGCTTCGCTGTTCCCCGGGTTTGTGGTTTCTGGAATGGGCGTAAGTCATTCTTCCCTGAGGGGCGGCTGAGGTTCTTGGTGGTTATCTGTCTCCTGGGAGGTCTGTATTTCTTCTTCTGTATGGAGCATCGGTGGTGTGAGGCCTTGCCTGCTCTCTGCTTGGGTGGGCTAGGTACTTGCTGCTGGGGTGTTTGGCGGGCGGTTCTCCCCAATGGGGCCCTGTGCTCCTCCTCGCTTTTTCGCTTCTGCTTCCCAGAGTGTGGGCTGCGGGTTCGTGCTTGAAACTTCTGGGTACTCATTTCAGGAGGGGGGCGCCGATGCCCTGGAGCCGTTGTATGTGTGTGTGTGCCAATGTGTGTGTGTGGGGGGAGGGGGGGCATTGTGTGTATGGGGGACTCGATGTGTGTGGGGCAGTGTGTGTATGGGTGGGCAGTGTATATGTGTGTGGGGCAGTGTGTTTGTATGTGTAGGGGCAGTGTATGTATGGGGGCAGTGTATGTGTGTATGGGTGGGCAGTGTATGTGTGTGGGGCAGTGTGTGTATGTGTGTGTGTGGGGGCAGTGTGTGTATGGGGGCACTGTAAGGGGGCAGTGCATGTGTATGGGGGGCAGTGTATGTGTGTGTGGGGGGCAGTGTGTGTATGGGGGGCAGTGTGTCTGGGGGGGACATTTCTCCATCCCTGGTGGTCCGGTGGGGAATCCCTGGTGGTCCCAGTGTTGAGAGTGAACTCTAGCCCGCAGCTCCAGGGCTAGAGTTCACTCTTGCGAGATTTGGAGTGTTGCCGTGGTAACTGCGATAGTAGGACCCGGAGGAGCTGCAGGTAAGAGTTCCCGGACCCTCTCTCACTCCCTCCCCTGTCGGCTGCCAGCACAGTGCCTGCGGACCGAGGAGGGAGATTTCTGATCCGCCAGTGGGTGCAGGTGTAGATTGTACTTGTGGTATAGTCCGTTTTGGGGTATTTTACCCCCGTTAGAGTTCTTTTTCCCTGATATTAGGCAGGAGCTCAATCTGCCTGCGACCTGCCAGGATGGC